TATGCATAGGATCTTCACTCAAAGATTATGCCAAGCTATAACAAAATTAAAGAGCTTAGTATCTTTTTGCCCAGAAAATATAATTAAAAAGGTTAAGAGTGTTGAGCACACATAAGAGCACATAAAACAGTTCGAGCTTAGACTCGTTAAGATTTTTTCCACTGAGCCATCCCGTGACCACCTTAGTGACTTGGACAAGAACCGTGCTGAGGAAGAAACCCAATGCGGTGGAGCACCACCCGAGCGCCGTGCTGATGCTCCTCATACTTGCCGGAGATTCTCTATAGAAAAACTCTAACATTCCTCCAAGAGTCAACAAATCCGAGAAACTCAACAAAACATATTTAAGCTCTAACCAGAACACAGAGATCTTAATGTTGTTGTGAATTGCTTCATGTTTTCTCTTGGCCTCCACAATGGCTGCAATCGCCATTGAAACAGAAGTAAGAGCTAAACCAGCTTCTATGCGTTTCAAATTGAAGCTCGATGATCTTTCGTTATTGCTTGATGAGATCTTTTTCCACAAGAGTTCACATAAAGCTATAGAAGAGAGCATTAAGATGAGAGCAATAGCGTTGAGGGAAGCAACGGGAACCTCGATGGATTGCATGAGATTTCTGTTCATCAACATGCCTTGTTCTACAGAGAAGGTCCCTAGTTGTGCTAAGCAACAGTTCATTACAATTGTGCTCACAAATATTGGTTGGAGAGCTAGAAACGTTCTTGTTTCTTCAACTTCTATTGCAGAGATCTTGTTGTTGAGCTTTGCTTTATCAAGAAACCTAGAAATGAAAGTTTACACGACAATTAAAGAAACAGAGAAATGAATCCCTAACAAGTTAGGTTTTTGCGTTATGAAGGTGATAAACAAAGATTATGTTTATAATAATTACTTGAACTTGTTGTGATGAATGCTTTTGTAGGTAGGGTTAAGGCTCTGACTCATCTCTGCATCCGTTACAAACCTATTTCGGTTTCTTGCGGCAGAACCAACAACATTTACAACTCTGGTCAAAGGACTTCCTGTTGGGCGCTTGAACCGATAGATCGGAAATCCCACAGCGAATATAATGAGCGCGGAGGCTAAAACCGCGGTAGAAATAAAGAAACTGGAGCTCCATCGTTTGTTCTCCTCGATCCAAACCATAATGGTTACAGCCAGTAAACCTCCAAGACAAAGAGAGAAGCAATACCAACTGAAGAATCCTGAGATCAGGCTCTGCTTTCGACTATCGAGCTGGTCGCCTCCATGAGCAGGTAACGAGGCCTTTACACCTCCAACACCGGTAGCTACCACATAAATTCCAGTGAATAGAACCATTGATTGAAAAGTTGAAGGAGTTTCGTCTCCATGAGGTTGTAGCTTAGGGCTATAAGCTTGGAGTGTCAACAAGATCAAACCCTATAAAGCAAAGAAGTAATTTTAAGTTGATTATTTTCAACCATTCATTACATTAGTATAATTCTCGGCCACTGGTAGTCCAATGCAATGGTGTCAAAAAAAATTCAATCAGCTTTTTGAGCGGGATGATCAGACCAAACAACCGGTCTTAAACTTTTAAGTTATATATAAATATTTGTTTTTTAATGGACTTGTTTTAGTTACCAGGAGTTCAATAGAACAGAATGTTGGGAAAATCAATAAGCACCGATGGCGCAGCGGAATAAATTTCCCCACACTTATGTGAACCTGTGAGAAAAATATAGAATACGGCAGCAGCAAATCAAAGCAGTAACGTAAATGAGATGACGAATTATTTTACGTGGAAAACCTCCTCAATGTGAGGAGTAAAAACCACGGGACCGTAGTCCACTCAAAAATCTACTATATCAAATTTGAGTTACAACCACGTCCTCTCTGTTCCCACAGAACAGATCCAGAGACTAAGACTCCAAAGAGCAATCTCCAACACAAGAAACACCAAAAGAAGAGCAATACAAAGAACCTAGAAACAAGCAGTCCCAAACGACCCTAAATTCAC